ATGCAACAAACGGTAGTGGTAAGGCACACCACATCTATGTCCTGCGGCCAGGATATTGTATTATGCAATGTGTTCATTACTCGATATTATGCAGGTAGATGATATGTATGTATGTACAAACAAAAATGCAGATAATAGTTTGTTATTTTAGATGTTGCAAGGAAAACTACCCGACGGACGACTGGCGCGCTCGCGCGACTATTTTGTGTGCCGTAATTATTCAAATTACAAGCAACATAGAGAGGAGTGATGGAATGCACAAAACAAAAAGTGACATTGCTTAAGGCAAGCGTGTGGACAGCGGACGGCGGATGGTGGCATGCTTTTGGTGCCTGTTTTTTTTTTTAATACTTACAGCAAGGGCTGCAAGAGAGGCGATTTTGATAGGAAAAACTAAGCGCCGAATTTCTGTTGCGGCTATCAACTTTCTTGCAATGCAATGCATGAGCCTGTGTGTGTGTGTGTGTGTGTGCATTATGCATTATCGGTGGCGCGCGACAGTCGCCTGCCAACAACGCCTATACTGTCCAGCGCATTTCCGTGCCGTGCCGTCGCTCGCCGTTCAGGCAGGACACTTCAAAGTACGTACAACCTGCCACGCTATGACTGCGGATCGTGCCCAGTCCGACACTTGTAGTAGTGAAGCTGAAGGTGGCCGGTGCTGCTGGTAGTGGCGGCGATCAAAGTCAACGACGATCAGGGTGCAGTGGTGCATACTAAGCGTGACAGCGGCAGCGTCAGCGTCAGCCGGTGGTTTAGGGCTGAAAAATGTTTGACTGTCGCGTCGTTTGCTAGCACTTGTCGGGTGTTTTATTTATTACAGTTTGATGTTGCACCAATTTGTTGTTGTTATTGGCAGCTATGTACGTGGTGTTGTTTGTCACTTGCATTTCATTTTTTTCCATTTTCGCTTGAAATTCCCCTTACTTTTAGCCACCGCCAACGGCAGGAAAAGCGCATTAGATATTCCATACGCGCGCTAGCGGTTTTGCTCCCGAACAGGTACATTAAGCGTGCCACAGTTTTTTAATGAGCCCGCATGCCACCGCCGCAATGTGCTTGCTTGTGTCGCTACAAATTTACTCTTTTTCCAAGCGAATGCAGCTTGCATAGTCGCTAACAAAGACTCGCTAGACTTTCGCGCGGCGTCACAAGTAGCAAAGCGTTAATTGTTCAATATTCGTGTTTTTTTTTTTGCTTTCACAAAACAAAGTTACATTTATTTATGTATGTAATTTTTGTACTTCCTCCACTTTGTTGCAGCCATGTAGCAGTTTGCAGCAAGTGTTGCCTGCATTGGCATGCGCATGTGCCGCTAAAGGTGGCTCTGGCTGTCAGCAGCAGCAAGTGGCTGCTCGCAAGGTGCAAGGATATGCTTGGCAAATATGTAGAGTATGAGACGTGACTGTACTTGCGGTGGAAGGATATGTACTCCCTTTTTTCGAATTTTGTTTTTCAATTTTTAGTTCTTCTTCCGGCCAAGTTGCAACTTTTATTTATTTACTCTGTAAGATTAAGCCAGCCGTGGTTAAGTCAACAAGCAATTTGCAATTTATCTTAACTAGTCATTTGAGTGTGGCAGATATGCGGGTTGGAAATTAGTATTAGCAAAGTACGAGTAGATAAGCCAAGGTGGAGTTTAGTGTAACATAAGTACATATTAGCAAAGTTAATTATGACATAGAACAACTAAGTAACTTGGAAAAAAGCCAACTAGTTAAAGGTGCAAAAAAGTTCAAAGGCTCTGAGGTAAGTGGGTATATCAATATATATGTATGTATGTACTAGGGTGATTGACTCGGTTTTTCTAACCGGTTTGTTTAAATGTTTTTTTCATATAATCAATTCCACCTAATATGCCTATATTTTAATTTGTTTAGATAATTCGAGTGCTTACATACAGTTGTTTACAAAATAATAGGAGTGTAATATTTTGACCAATTTTAACTATTTGTGATTTTTTTATTTAATGTTTTTTTATAAAACTAAAAAGACAATTCGAACTTTTTACAAAAATTATAAAAATTCTCCAATTTTCATCAAAATTTCAAAATTTTTCATCAGAATCTTTAAAAAAAAATTGGTATGCAGTTTTGTAGCCCATTTAATTCTAGTATAACGAAGGGCAAGTTTCAAGTTGGTAAAAATTCTCGTTGATTTCGGAGATTTTTTTTTTGGTTGAAGGTGGTTCACGTGTTTTTTCCATACAATGTTACCGGCCATACCCGATCGTAGGACAAACTAGTTTTTCCTGGGAGAAATTAGTTCTATCTAGATCCAATACATCCGTCTATCCCGAAGTCAATTTAGACGCAACAATATTGTGGACTGCGTAGTGGGACTTGGACTGATGAGGGCCATTTTTTTGAGTTTCTCCTTAAATTCGGCTTCTATTTATGGATGTTGTTAGGCAAATGGAGAGATATACACTTTACTCCACCTCCGACGATGCTTTTTTATGGCAGAAGTACTCTCGAAGGTATGCCATTGTCTGCCGAGGGGCAACCGCTTTAAAAAAAAACTTTTTGATGTTACTGGGACCAGAAATTAATTCATGGGCCTCTCGAGGTTTGTCTACTTCAGGACTCGGCTATGGCGGCAAGAGTACTTCTCAAATCCGAAAAAGGTCAGAAAAAGGAACAGTCCAGCGCCTTCGTCTTGGTCTGCATCGGAGACACAGCCGTTAAATTTAAACGTAGAATATGTGGTATGATTAAGAGCACATCGAAGTCAAAAATGAAAGCACATACTAAGCGATAATAATATCGATAGCAAAATCGATAACAAAATCGATAAAAATATCGATAAAATCGATTACAAAATCTATAAAAAAATATCGACAACAAAATTTATAAAAATACCGATAAAAAAATCCATAACGAAAGCGATTACAAAATCGATTAAAATATCGATAACAAAATCGGTTAAAAATATCGTTTATTAAATCGATAAGTTCCGGAAATATCGATAGCAAAATCAAAACAATATTGATAAAATTTCGATAACAAAATCGATAAAAAATATCGATGACGAAACCGATAAAATATCGATTATTACATCGATAAGTCCCAAGAATTCCGAACATCTCTATAATCCCGAAATAGTCCCCAGACTAAGTCTCTGTCTATATCCTTTTCTCTATAATTACCTTTATTTTAATCTTTCTTCCTCTGTCTTCATCTTTACTTTTATCGGTATCCTCATCCTCATATTTTTCTTAATATTTATCTATGTTTTTACTTTTATATTTATCATATTCTTCATCTACATATTCCCCTTCACCTTTGCCTTTTATAAATATTGCGCCATCTGTTATTGAAGAGCCGAAATTCCTACATACACATACTTTTTGTCTCATTCTCTCACTTCCAGCGCATGCATGTGTTTGCAAAATGATGACGAAGTGATTTAAATTGGAAAAGCATTTATGCCCATATATTTGAATAAAATAAATATGCTAAAAAGATATACTACTTCCCATATACCAAACGATAGGTAAACACCTGAATTTTGACTCAAAAAACAAAAACAAAATCATTCGAACGGTTTTTGAGCATTTTGGTATTAAAAAAAAATTTCAAATTTTTTCAAAAATTTTTTGCCTTTAAATGCTCGGTATTTGTTGAATTTATATAAAATTTGTACACGATAATGTTCCTACTGCTCCGAAGAACCTATATCCCGAAAGCGAAAGTTTTATCTGCCAATCATAAGTTGCTAGAGCACTTTAAAGGCTCAAAATTGACACAAAAATAAGCCAATATTTACAGTTGTTTCTACGACAGACACCGAATCGGTTACTTACATAAATGTATCTGTGAACATTTGAGCATAGCCTTCATATCAAAAATTCACTAAAGTATTAAAAAAAAGGTTGAAATAAGACCAGTAACAGTTACAACTTTTATTAACTCGCTCTTTAACAATTATTTTTTGACTTTCATTTAATTACTCTTTAAATAACTGTTATTTCTAACTTTTATTTTATAAATCGAAAATAACAATTATTTTTTATTTTTATTTATATAATCTGCAAATAACAGTCATTTTTTATTTTTAAATTACATGTCTTAGATAACAGTTATAGAAGAATTTAATTTATAAAAGTCTTAAATAAAAATCAGTCACCCATCTTTATTTCTTCAATCACTCTTATCAAAGTCATTTGTATAAGTAAACTTTTATTTCCCAACATCTTCTTAACTGCGAAAAATGTTACTGACTTTTATTTGATTGATTTAAAAAATAAAAGTCGGTGACTGATTTTTATTGATGACTTTTATAAATAAAACTCTTCAATAACTGTTATCTAAGACATATAATATAAAAATCAAAAATAATTGTTAATTTTTTAAATTTGGCATAAAAATTGCAAATAAAAATTTATTTGAGTCTTATGTGCAAAAAATTTGAGTCTCGGTGCAAAAAGAAATCGATTGGTATGATTCACTTAGTTGCAGAACATTTCCTTCATAGTGAATTTTTCCATCAACGTTTTCATCAGTAAATGTTCGGTCCCTGTGTCAACCGTATTGGTGTCACTTTTGAAATGATTTGTTCGCTTTATATTAAACTTATTTAAATACCTTTCTAATGGTATAACTCTTTATACCCTTGAAGTATAGTTCAGCCGTAAAAGGGGCGTAAGGAAACATGTTTGCCTATTTATATAAAAGATCTTAAGTGGATATTTTTATGAATTTTAAGGAAAAAATGTTAACAGGACAATTTCAATACCTATTCGTTCTTATTTATAATAAATAAAAATTTATTCTCTATAATATAACTATAATATTATTTACCGCAACTTTCGTCTAGAAAATAACTAAGCAAATATCCAGAGTTCCATCTGTGAATGTCCAGCTCTTGCCAACATTGGTAAAAAAAAGTACTTATGTAGACACGGCTCAAATGTGTTATAAGATATAAACCCATAAATTTCTTTCTGGTCTGAAATAAATTTTTCTAAATATTTTTGAATGCACCTCTATATGCTAAATTTTTATTATTTACAATTACAATGTATACCCACAAATTTTACTAAAAGAAATTCCTAAGAAACTTTAAACCCTTCACCTTAATAAGATAAGTATGTATGTATGTACCTATATAAAAAGTTGCGTACATTTTTTAGTTTAAAAAAACGGCCAATAATTCCTTATCAAATCAGTTCTCACGTTAAGATACCAAATTGCCTACGTATAATCGGTACATATTCATCCCAACGTGCTTGAAATATATTCCCTGCCACCAATTCCATGTTATATTTCTTAGCCAGTTTCGGTGAAGAGAATTTCTCGTGGCCGGTTACATTGGTATTGGTGATTACAGGTTCATCGAATGCTTGCTTTCCGGGTTGTTTGTAGACCAAGAATACATCTCGCACTAATCCACTTGACTTGGCTGTTAGTGGTCCAACATAGGGATCCAGTACGTCACCCTTGGCAATATCTGTGCCCGGTATGTTCACCACTAACCAATGAAGCCATTCACGTAGTGCAGGATTCTCACGACTAGGGTAGTCCAAAGTGCTCATTATTAGTGTGTAGTATGCATCTGGTTCAGCGGTCCAATCCACTTTTGGTTCATCTTTCGTTTCGGTGGGTGTAAATTCTCTGCCGCCGCCCACATCTAGACCATTTTCGTATGTAACCTAAAAATAAATAAATGAAGTATTTATTTTTCTAATACAAAACTGGTAGTAAATTTATAAGATGAAAACAAACATACTCCAAGTTCTTAGCTCATAAATTGTTCTTCTTAAATACATCCTTTTTGAAACTTCATTTATTTTACGTTAACGTTGTTTATTTTCTTTAAGGCGCTTAAGAAGACATGTTGTCTATAAAACGATGTACATATACATTCCACAATATGCTTCTGATGGAAACGGGGGTTCCCATACTGGATCTCCTGAGAGAATGTATAAGCACAAAACATTTGAGAACAGACTACTTTAGTTACTTCAAGAACCACCACATTCACTATAAGGAGCTTATAATTTTCGCAGCTTTTTGAGTTTCATACTCAACGTATTGGTTAACCTATTGGCGAAAGCTGCTCCGAAGTTCTTGATGAGCGGATTCGATTTAATGAATGCAGTGCCGACTTTAAATGTTGAAGTCTCTGGATGCTTGTGACAGCTCTCAACAACCGATTTCGTTTTTCCTTTAATATGGATAGGCTATTCCTTTCTATGTGTTATTGTCAGTAAAACCCACGAGTTCTGCTACTGGCTGGAAAGGTACCTATATAAGTATGTATACTAAAAACCCCGTTGGACATCACGTTCAAGGTGAGTGAAGCTCACAAGGAACCTTTCTGGTCATGTACAGAAGAATTATAAACGAATAATAAGTTGAACTTTTTTCAAGTCGCATAGAGGGTGAGACATTTTCTGAAGTTTGATCCCAGCTAGCTGTCGTTTTGCTACAATACTTGCAATTCTAAGTTGAACGATTTTTGAACTGGATTGTTAATCCATTCTAAGTGAAAATCGTAAATTGCTTTTGTAGAAATTTTTCCATTGTATCTATTAGGCAGATATTACGATTAATGTCTAGCTCTCTTGGTGGTTTCCTTAGTTTCGGCAACTGGATTGCATTTGGTGGGATCCATGAGTCAGGAAACGTTTCCTAATGAAGACATACTTAGACTCCTGGCATTAACAAGGACCTTTGGGTCTTCTGCTACTGCAATTTTTAAAGCTTAATTTGGAACCTATCCAAGTAGGCATCGGAAAAACAATTTACACTTGGAAGTTTCAAAACATTACAGGCAAACTTTGCGAGCAGGCAAAAATTTGAAAACGGCGTAACCGATTTGAATATTTTATTTTTGATTTTTTTTTTCGCTTTAATAGTCAGATGGTTTAAAAAGAAAAAAAGTTGGAGAGTGGTGGCAACCAGTTTGAAAATTTTAGTTGAAGATAATTGATAGGATAAAGTAAATATTCCAATAACTATGGGTGCCAAAAATATTTTTGACGAGGGTTGTCACCTGTTTAAAATTTACTTTAACTAAATTGATAAGGTAATATTACATTATAGTTATCAAGCTAGTTAAGTTTAAGAAGGCACCAGTAGCACTTTATGTAAATGTCATACCTCGTCACTGGCCTCCTTGGTATATTTGACGTTAGCCTTTGCTAGGTAATCCCTATATAATGCCTAAATATATGCAATTCAACCTTATCAAAGCTATTTTTTATAGTGGGTCAAAGGGTCCACCTTTAAAAAAAAAACATCAAATTAAAATACTTGGTACTTCACGTATTAGATTTCTTAAATGTAATGATTTTCTTAAATAGTAGGCTTAAAACAGCTTCTAGCAAATTTTTTAAATATAAATTTAAATCCTTGCAAATAATACAACATTTAATATTATATTTTGTTATATTCCCATACCTTCAGCAACTCTTTTGGCGACTCCTCAAATATATCCGGCACCACTTCCATATCCCGAAAAAGCTTATCTGCATCATTATCCTCAGCTTTTACACTAGCTATAACTAAACAGAAAATAGCAATGCGCTGTAACTTGTGCCACATTTTGTACAACCGAAACACTGATGACAGATTTACACATTGGCGGAGCGGTTTTATATATTTTTTCCAGAGGATTATATGAACTATTGCGCTAATTTGAAAATCACAAACCATTAAAAAGCAAAATGTTTTACAATTTACAGATGATTTTGTCATTAGCTGCATGCAACTGGCTGTAAAGAGTTGAATAAATATTGTTTTTCCTATAAAATTTATTTAAATGAAAATATTGCCTATTGTATGTAAGTACTTGTATATATGTATAGAACACAAAGCCATCATATATCGGGCAGGCAGTACCGACTGTGATATTGTTAATTGGCAAAACCACTTCGCAGGTATAATTCGCAGGTATTGTTATATTCTTTTAATGTGAGTTAATCTACTCAATTGTACATTTTTATTAACCACTAGTTGTATCCCGCAGCTCCACCCGCATTATGTACATATATACTGTTTAACGTTATGCTGTCAAATGTTATAGCTGCACACCAAATTGTTATACCGGCTGCTATAGAATTATGGTGACCATTTCGATGGTCTTTCACAGATGGTTGTCTTAATCGAGCCAGTCTTGATATTTCCCTTTCCAAAGAATCCTGGCATACGAATTATGACTCAGCAAATGGTCAATGTCTGTGAAAAATTTTAAATAAATCAGCCGTTTCACTAAAAAAAAACTTATCTTAGTACACTGCCTTTATAAGTACGATTCTAGTTTTAGTTTCATGCCAATACCACAGCGTTTTATTTTATTTAAAATACACGGAAAAAGTAGTTTTATATACCCAAATTTTGGAATTGTGGCAACTCTGATATAAAATGCTATCGAAATATTTACCTCGATGTAATATTTCAACTAACTAAGTTATTAACTTAGAAAATTTGACTTTGAAAACAGGTAGCTCTTGAAAAATATTTTAGAGAACCACTGTGTCGGAATTAACCTCTCGGTTAATTGTGTCACAACTTTTAAACTGATGCCAACACTCGGCAAAAATATTTACATAAGAAATAAAGCTTACTTTTAGAAATAAAACTTGCTTACATATCTCTCGTTTTACACCCATTTGAAAATTATTAATTTCACTTGTTAATTAAATTGATTTTATATTTCTAAACTGGTGGAAACCCTCTTAAAATTATGTTCAAGAAACATACAGCTCTCTTAAAGTGCTCTCGTTTGATATCTATATTAAAATATTTTATTTAACTTGTTAATTACACATATTGATTTTGTACTTCTAAACAGGTGGCAAGCCACTTCAAAAATATTTTCGAAATTAATCTTTCATGATACCCATATCGAAATATTTCTTTTAGCTTGTTAAATATTTTGAGCTTCAACTTCCAAACAGGGGCAACCCTCTTCAAAAATATTTGATAAGTTTGCATACTTTTGGAAATAAAGCTTGCTTAATTATCTCTCGTTTGACACCCATAGTAAACTATTTAAAATAACTTGTTAATTAAAATTATTTTTTATTTCTAAACAGGTGGCAACCCACGTTAAGAATATTTTCAAACTGCATATAGCTCTCTTATTTGTTCACGTTTGATGCTCGTGTTAAACTATTTCCTTTAACTTGTTAATTATGTTTATTACACATTTCTAAACAGGGGCAACCCTCTTCAAAAATATTTTATAAATATGCTTACTTTTAGAAGTAAAGCTTGCTTAATTATCTCTCGTTTGACACCCATATTAAACTATTTAATATCACTTGTTAATTAAAATTATTATTTTTTATTTTTCTAGACAAGTGGCAACCCTCGTTAAGAATATTTTCGAACTGCATATAGCTCTCTTATTATTTTCACGTTTAATGCTCGTATTAAACTATTTCATTTAACTTGTCAATTACTTTAGTTACACATTTCGAAATAGTTGGCAACCCTCTTAAAAATATTTCGAAATAAAGCTTTCGTAAATTTCAATCGTTGACACCAATATCAAACTACTGCGTTTCCCGTGGTTGTTAAGTAGATTTTGAATTTGTAAAATGATGGCAACCCTCGTTCAATTTCAATATCAATATTTTAAAAATGTATAGAGTCTTCGTAAACTTCTCTCGTTTGATACTCGTATTAATATATTTCATTTAACTTGTTAATTACATTGATTAATTTCTAAATAAATATGTGGCGCCCTTACTAAGGAATTTTTTCGAAATATAGCTCTCAAGCAACTCTCATTTGATTCTCATCTTAAAAAACTTGATTTAGCATGTTAATTAAATTGATTTTAAATTTGTGAATATGTGGCAACCCCATTCAAAAATATTTTCGAAATCAATCGTTTTCGAATCAGTTGCCTTTGAAACCCACATTTTTGTTATACTCAATTTTACTTATTATTTAGTTACTTTTAATTTTTGGAAAAGGCGACCAATCAGGTTATATTCCAACTGTGCGCAAAATTTCCCTGAAACAAGTCCAGCTGTTTTAGCGTGAAAGAGCAAGCAACACACATACCCACACTCATTCACAAACTTTCACAATTATAATAGTTGAATAACTTTCAACATGTTTACTGGAAGGTCTGTTTTTTTTTATTCACCTTGCTACTCGCTACACTTCCATTAAATTTTTCTTTCTTAAATGGATATAACAAACAGAATACTTTTTTATCCAATGTTTGTCACCTCCTTATTTCCGCACCTGCACATCTTCTTTTTACCGTAATTTGTTACGCCCAGAAAAAAATAAAAAAACATTGCCAAAATCGTTGCACCCTACTTCTAGTGAAGGCGTTTTATATCTCATTATCGCTTCAACTTACAGATTTATTTTTCTTTCAGTCTGCCATATATCCATTTATTGTTTTTTGTTTCTTGTTTTTTGTTAATATGAAAGGAAATCTGCTCAATACACTTACAATTAAATTCTTGTTAAAAATCTACAAGTGTTAGTTATTGCCGCAGAGCACATTCCAAGAAATTGTAATCAGCAAATTGTATTGCATTTCCTCGATTTGTTATTAGTGTTCCTTTTGTCACCCCTGCGAACACAGCTGCGGAAAGAATTCAAGTGAAGAAAAAAAACATTAACAAAGTGCGTTGTTGTAGGTGGGAAAGGAAATCATAGATAATACTACTTGTACGCATTAAATATTTGCTAATGTATCAGTTCGCTTCCGGTACGCATTTTTTACTTAAATATTTGTAGAAAGAAGGTGACACTTATCGATTGAATTGATTACCTGTGCTACAATTGCTGCGTTTCTTGGTGTAATATGGTTGTGGCACTGTCACTTGCCGTTTTCAGACAACCGAAAACTTACCATTGCCCCTTTTTTGAATGCAGCGAAAATTATTGGATATGTAGTTTGCAGGATCCACACTAGACTGGTTCAAAGAAATCTACTTTATTTTTCGAAATCCCTTGTAAATTATGTATTTTTGGGACAATGAGGAAAATCCACCTGTCAAAAGCGCAGGACTTAATATTAATATTTAGAGGCCGCTTATCGCGAATTTCCATTTTCCATTTATATAACACAGGTAATTTTAGCCTAAATAGAGAAAATTATGTCATTTTCACAAATATGTAAATATTATGAAAACCATATTGACATGAGGTCAATATTGACGGCATGCGTACGAACGAAGTCTGGACGTTTATAGTGTCCTATAAAATGGATCTATAAAATGAATTAATCTCTTATTCACAGAGAATATGTTTTGTCTCATCATCTGCAAGACAGAGCCGGCATTTTGACTCTTTGCTCACATCTATTCGGTGCATCTGAAATCGCACAACCGACTGTGACCAGTACGGTACCCAAAGAGTAGCCCTTTTTGTTGAAAGTGTAGCCAAAAATCCTGGCCTGTTTACGGCGCCCAGCACTTCAGAGTATTTACTGCGTTCAAAGTGTGCCCAATCAGTAATTATGGTTCTCGAAGAGGACCAACTGTGTCCACAGGATGTTTTTGGTCCAAAAAAGGTAGGTGGAGATCATTCTCATGCAACCTCTCGTCAACGGGCTCATTGTCCTCGATTCTGCAATGGGCGATCGACTCAGGTTTTCCAAATCGGTTTCAAACGGCTTTTTTGATATCCGTAGGCGGATCTTTTGAAATCTTGGTTTTTCAACTATCGAACAAACCGATTCTGTTTTTCATTTCATACAAATCGTGAACTCCCAATAAAAGTTTTAATTTTTTCGAAGTTTTCAAGGCCTTTTGCAGTTTAAGGGAAATTCCTAATGGAGAGATCTACACTTTTACTCCAGCTCCAAAGAAGTATTTACACTCCGAGGTTTGCCTTTTTTGATGTTGCTGGGACCAGAAATTGAACCATGTACCTCCCGAGTAGCAGTAGGCACATCTAAGCACTCGGCAACGGCGGCAAGAGCACTACTCAAATCCGAAAAAAGACTTTTAAAAGCTAAAAGCTAAATAAAAGCTAACCTTATTGTTGATAGTTTTGTTGCAACTTTCACTCTTGTCTTTATACCAATGTAATCATTTTCACTGTATGAAAAATATGTAAACTAAAACCGGTTTATCGGGTTTTTTCTTAGTTTCAAACAGGTAGCCAGTTTTTCAATTTGGAAAGAAGGCGAATAATCGAACACCATACCTACCTGTTTTCGGCTGCCTAAATTTATAGCGGTCAAAGCAGTTCTCATCATCTTGTATCTTCCCGAACCTTATTTTATAGAAGTAGTCGTTAGATAGTTGAAGTTGTAGCTTCTCCGCGGCTGCTGTTTCTTGAATTATGATATGGAGCAGAGTCCATCCTAGCAGCGAAGCTTGCGCCGACGTTAAGAAAGTTTTTATAAATCCATTTTTTACTAAGAGGGCGATGTAGTTCATCTACAACGATAAACCATAGTAGATAAGAAATGGAACTACGCTGCGGTAATACTTTCCTGACTAAGGTATAAATCTTTCCAGCGGCCACTTTTAACTATTCATTTAAGACTTAATGCTTCTTGCGAGAATCTGAATATAGTGCTGGGTAGATTTTAAAGCAAAAGAGTTTTTTGCAAGAAAGCTGTCTATAATATGCTTGAAT